CTTACTGCTGTCACACCTCTCTACAGTCAGCAGTACGACTTCGCCCTCAGACCTTGAGTTGCTGCTTTTAGTCTTACCGTTCGCCAATCGACCTGCCTGGCATGGTAGAAGCTGCAGGAACATATGTTCCAGCCAATATAGCTCGGTTGGGTCATTACGATAGGCAAGCCCGACCACCGCGTCAAGGTACCAGCTTCGATCGTGAATGAACAAACCAAGGCAAGAAAGTCATCATACGACTTTTAAGAAATAAATTATAGGTATTTGTATCATATGAAGGGCATACAACTGGCAAATGTTATAGATATCAGTAAACTGAAACAAATTCCTGGATAGATAACCGTGCATCTTACCGAACTGCAACGTCAAAATTTAAATCATAACATTCCACAACAGGTTTATATGACCCTAAGATGTGATGAGGTGTTCCTGTGATCAGACTCAAACGCCTTAAAATAATGGTCTGCAAATTACAGACTATTCTAACGTACAAGCAGGGAAGTAACTTCCCACTGCAACCGACTTTCTAATGTCTATCTTCAGAACGTTTGAAAAGGTAAATTATAATTTATGCACGAAATGATGAAATCAAGAACAGAGTCAAAGGTTTCGGGGCGAGAATTATTTGTACTTACAGATAAACAGTATTTCGATAACACAATCAACGTCTGTTTGTGATGAAAAACCTTAATTTAAATCCTAATTCCTAATCTCAGAAAAGCCATAAATAATAGATAAATGAAATGGAGATACTCTATAAGATTTTCGATCGTTACTCTCGCTTTTTTTCCGTGCATACAATTGGTCTCTTTCACAGGTCTTAGTGCTCGTGTCTACCAAGTTTATCTTGATTTAGCGGATCGCCAAACTGATGCAAATAAACATTGTCTCTTCTTAAGTTGTGCGCATCCTTTTATGGGTTTTCTAGAACCACTACCTATCAATGACTTTATTTCCGAATTGCTGACCTTCGATTTTTACGAAATATGTGTAGCAAGTTACGAAAACCTTCCCCATGCGATTATACCAACCCTACAGAAGAATTCGAATCTTGACATTTCATTTGTTCTGGTACTAGAAAACCCATGGTTCCGAACGACGATCTGCCATCTACAAAATGAACGGTTTAAGATCGATTTTTGACAGACGGTCAAGGCCTCTATTCTCAGATGAATAATTTTCACAATGGACCCACCATTCGTTTTACTCTTTGTTCGCAATTCAGGAAAAACCGAAATTGGTTACACTGCACTTCAACTCGTTTGTGGAACCAAACTCCGACTTCGAGGAAATCTTGGGGATCCTTAATCATACCCAATGAGAGCGTGCATCTAAAGGCCCACACGAACAGGCTCGTAGACACTATGAGTTTATCTAATCCTGTTTTTACTCAACCGCAAAAGACTGATCTTTTTGAACGATCTGCCTTACGACATAGTACACAACGCTCGTGTGCCGCGAAACCTCTGTAAATTACATATGAAGGATCCTTCAAAGTTCTTCATCAGAAACCTAGGTGTTTTACCATTGATTTGAAGTGAACTAGCTACAACATTAATGTTGGCTGCACTAGAGCCCCCTACTAGTAGCAGTAGCCTTCCTATGAAAACTTTTTGATTGAAACGTGATAGTATGTGGTGGTCGGTACCCGATATAATCCTTAACTTCGTATACAGTTCGTCTTGCTAACCGTTCTATATGACGTCCCAACGGTATATTAATCAGAAGGCAAATACGAAGTGTTGATTACGTTTATTGCGAGACCACACACAAATATCCAATATTACAGATGCATTAACGAGCATTAAGAGTTGTGCCGAACAGCAAACAGGCAAGCAAGCGACTGAGCGAATATAAGTAATCGAGTACAATCAAACGAGCGAGAAAGCAGAGTCAGCTATATGAATAACATGGACATATATATAGCATGTGAAATGAATGAGTAATCAAATCAAATAATCAGTTAGTAGTAAGACTAGCAGAGTGAATAAATGCGCAGGCCGTAAGCAATATTCAAGCATGCATATTTCATACAAGCACAAAATAATAATAAGGGTACAATAAATTGTTATAGTGCGGATAGCTTTGTCCGCTAAATAAGTTAGCTAAAGGGCTTAACTGAGTTAAATGAGAATAAACCCATTTGCACGTGAGTCGCTATAAGTATTTACTATCACAATGTAACTCACAATATTTGACAAACATGGTGAAATTATGCTGTTAGACAGTAACCGGCCTAAAAAGGTGCTCTGTGAAAGAACATAGAGATTTTTCATGCCTCTAGATAACCCTCGTGCTATTGATAGAAGAAACCAGGCAAGTAGTGAATGAGTCTTTATTTAGATCTTCAGGCAATCACAGTGAAGCGTGGGATTATTGGTTCAGACAAGCAAATCCTCTCAACATTCAATATAGGGTAATAGGAAATATAACGCCTTTACAAAATAAGTAAGTGAATGAATACTTGAACTATACTGTTTTGACATATGCTTAGTTGTTTAAGTTGAACTCTTAACCAACCAACCTAAGCTGTTGCATATTCATAAACTTATAAATAGTTGGCATCGAGCAGAAACGAATCCTCAAAGCAAGTAGTATCGCAATGCTCTAACACTGTAACAAGCCGCCTAGTATTGCCCAACACACATTAGCTAGAAGCGTTCACTCGTGCATTCACACAAGGTAACAGTTCGGTACACCACACTAATTTACAACTGCAACAACTAGCCATTGTATGGTTTTCTATATGGTTCTTTTCAATCTGTATATTTAAGATCCCCATTTCCTGAATTCTGATTCTAATAAGTTTGTGGTCTGGAATCGCAGATTTTTTATAAGCCAAAGAGCCTTCAGACACTGAATGTTCGCAACATTTTTATAGATAGCTTATTTGGAATTCAAATCAGATGCCCATTAAGAACGAGGCAGTTATTAACATGAACGAACACTACGAACTAATCTTATGCAGTCTCATGTCCAGCAATAAGTTTCATGTATTAGTTTTCTAAGTAGTTCCATGAGATTCGTCACAATCAAGGTCTTAAAACAGAGTATATGAGTCGAGAGGTTCAGTAGTTTAGGACTCGGTGTTACAAACGCCAACGGACGCAGACATTTTGGTGTTGTTTCCCTCAAAATATTCTTTCTGTCGGCCATTCATGGAACGGATAACATTGACAACTTTATTGTGGAAATCATCTTTTCGCCTACAGTAATACAAAAATGACTCGCTAATAAACCTCTGGCAAGGTAGCAGGGAAAATATCAGGGAGTCACAGCCTGCGTGGAATGAAGACGCCTAAATTGATGTGCACGACAGGAAAGAAATCTAGTTCTATTCGCCTGGAATATGTAGACGAAGTCAACTGATCGACGGAATTTGAAGAACAGCAAATTAGTGTGGCTTCAATCAGAACCAAACAGTTGATAAATCAATCTTACTCACTTGTACACAAATACAGATTCTACATGCAAGAAGACAACTCCGTTTTTAATTAAAGTTTTATCGTAGTTTTAAATTACCTAGACTTCATTAGTACATAGTAGACTTATTCTTGTACATATCCTGATCAGGTCCACTAGTGTGAATCATTTCATAATGTAACCACTGTAGTGTTCTTACCCTCCTGTTCAGCAACCAACCGTTTTAAGGGACTGTCACCATTTATAACTCTTAGAATTCCTCAGTTTCATCGAAGAAACGTGTGTAAGTCGACGAAGTCTGAGTCTGAAGACAGGACTAGTTCAACAGAGTTCAGTAACGCTAATGTGAAAACCATTGACTATGAAATGTTCAAATAAGGGTATCCAGTGTACTTTACACACATAAATGCAACGATATGCAAATAAACTTAAGCATAACTAAAATCCTTAGTGCATATTCAATCAACATCTATATTAGGTTGTATCTCCATATTTAAGAGCAGGTTGCGTTATCGGAAGTGATTTTGTTCTAGGCATATAGGGTTATGAGGCACAGCAGTTTTCTATTCACGGTTCACGATAGTGTTACGATAATAAAAAGCTTCATTTCTGATTACGGAACTCTCTCACATCTCAAATAAAGCAGAGCAATTGCAGAAGTATGATTTTCTACCTTCATTCAGGCACACGAATTTAAAAGATTTTTTGTTTCTCCGCTCTACATTTTTATGATAGTAGTTACAAGAGCTGCCTAACCACTTCAAAATGTCGAGTTGTAACACGTCGTGAAATTTACCTTATTAAAGGCTAGTTTCGGTGAACTGTCTTGCACTACTCTTTTTTATTGATTATAATAGCCGGTTGTTTTTTATGTGACACTATGTGCACCTGATGAGTTTGCTGAGTTGTCGGCACACTTGGGTTATAGTAAGATAAAAAGAACTATCGTTCCTATCATATAAACATTTACTGACATACGCTACTTTACACGCCTTTTTTATTTGAACGCAAACGTCGTTCAGGCCAGTCTCAGACAGCGAGACCGGTGTTTCATATTGGAAGCCTGGGCATCATTGCCAGATTTTGTCTACTTCAGGCCTGTATCTTTGCTAATCGTTTCTGAATTCTGAATTCTGCTTCACAAATGAACTTCTTATATTGTGAGGCTTGTCCCATTCAGTAACAGAAATCTAGAAATTTTTGGATATCTGTTATCGATTAATCAGTAAACGATATCTTTCGTAAATGTTGATGATGTCGGGTTAATTTTGCAGAGTTTATGCCATGTGGTGTAAAAAGTATTCATACTTTGCTGAATATGCGTCGAACAGTTGACATGCTGTGTATTTTTATTAAGATGATTTCCTTCCTGTCCATTAATGGACAATAAGAATTCTTATTGTAAAAATATACCATGAATTTGTGTATTCATAATCATTACTTTTGATTCACTTTCTTGAATGTCTCTTTAATCAATTTTAGAATTTGATTCATCCTTTTTAAATTAACTTGTAATAATCAGTCATATTTGTGATAATTAAGAGCTATTGGAAAAACGTTTATCAGCGTTTTACTTGATGATTCGTCTAAATATGTATGATCACTTTGTTATCAGTCAGGAGATTATGATATGTGAGCTCTTTAAAGCCATAAAGTGTAGTAGAATAGAATTGAATTTGTTGGATGATGCACTGGTAAGTAAATTATTCATGTATATCAAACTATTCGTTCAAATATTGACGAATATTCGTATAAATTATTTTTAGTTGATTTAAATCATTCATGTATTTACAATCTCCTTTTTTTCGATTAGGAAGTAAGGCTGTATGGCTAAATATTACAAAGTTATAACTAGATTTATTTTTTACTGTTGTAAGTTTTTATTACCGTTGCATCATAACAGCACTAACCCTAACAAACTCCAATCACCATTACAACAACCCTCTTCTTCCCTAGCTCCAAATACTCAAAGAGATAACATCGGTTATAGAATATGTTAAGAGAGACCAGAGAAGATTTATCTTTCTATAATCTATTATATTTCGGAACTTAGCATTCCCAACACTAGTACGAACGTTTACTTTACTCAGATTGATTTCTGATGACTACACATCGACTAATGTTTTGTGACTTCGAGGAACGAATCTAATGTACAGTGTCTATTCAGTTGGTGTCTGAACTCCCATTGTCCCCAAATGAAAGTTATTGACTCATTCAAACACAAAATATTTAGCATGTTATGATGAATTATAGTAGCCTTGAGTTGTCAGAACTCATGATCATTTTTTTGCTTCTTGTTTTTGTAAACATCGATTCCATGAGCTGAATACGTTTTCATTCACTATCTCACCTAGTTTATCTAACGCAGTCTTGGTTCATTTATGTCATCACTATGTACACAATATAGAACTCCTTTTATATCGAATGAAGTGACAGGTCTTATTTTAAAACACTGTGTATTGCTAAGTTAGCAATTTTATTCATTGATCCAATTCTGAAAGAGTGTATCTGTTAAAATGATTGGATGTCCTGTTTACTATACGGTTAACCAGAGAACAATGTACTCATTTGTATTCAACAGTTTTATTGTTTGACTATGTTGCCGTGAAAAAAACCTAAATCAGATTTCCAGGTGAAACATTGGATTTATTTCAAATTAGTTTGATGAGATTTCACAAACACATTCTTTCTCCTTAACGTTTCACATCGACTCGGCGCCAAATACTGTGAAACTATTCGATGAAATTTAGACGAAAGCTCTTATATAAAAATCCAACTGTTTATTCATATCATACCAGTGATTGGTTGAATGCAATGAACGTTGCCTGGGAAAATGGTGGGTTGTTTGGATCATAGTGTGAATTATTATTTATTTATTTTCATGCTTAACCTCATGTTAAAATTCTTTTTACAGTAAAACCTTGCCTTTAAATATCTATTTTCAGTTGCTTCTTGATGATCTCAAAGGAGCATCTCGCAATGAAATAGATCATGTATGCGAATTGCTGTTAGAAGGTGATAGCTTCCAAGCTCTTAAAAATTGGGCGTTTACACACAAGCCTACCATCTTGTTGCAGTTAAAACAAAACATTGTAACTGAACATTATTTAAACAACTCATGCTGCTGTAGTTATTTGAAAAAAGCCCAGGTGTGTCATTTTCACCGATTCGAGAGTGATTTTACTGACTTTATTTCAGGTTAGTTGGGAGCGCAAAATGTTACGAAGTCTAAATTCAATGTGTCAAGAGCTTGGAATACCTCTAGGAAGAAAAGTTAGTTGAATAGCGACATGGTTTTTACGGTTTTATCTCCTTTTAAAAGAGATCTAAAGGTCATAAAGAAGCTGTTCTGCAAAACTGGACAGAGTTATCAGTATTTTTTAACAGTAAAGTCATGCTATTTTTCCTAACTAATAATTCCGTATTCCATATTAACGTGTCAAGAACAATCAGTTATTAAGCCAGTATTTGGTCCAAAAGATCTTTTAGATGTTCTTACAAGTATTAAACATCCACAAGTGAGATCCACATTTAAAGAGTAAGCCTTTTGCATATCATACTGGAACGATCATTTTCCTTTTTCAATAGTTATAATTCATCAATGACTGCAACTTGGGGTCTAATAAATTTGCCTATAAATGTTAAAAATTTGTCCGATCTGGTATGTTCACGATTCACAATATTGTTTACAGTAAATAGAGAAGGTTTTATGAACCGTTACATATCAAAAATCCTCAAATTGGTGTTGACGACTCATTGCCGTCTACTTTTGAATTAGTGCATGAACAGGAAGCTAAAGAAGGTACACTTTATTTATCTTGTTGAATCTAATTCCTACTTTTTTTCTTCAAAATATCAGTCATAAGTCTTGACTCTTCTGAACGGGCACAACAGTTTTTGCGTCGTGGCTGCCCACTGGGTTATCGCGCACGATTGTGGGCCTTGTGTTTAAATGCAAAAGTGACGGAACACGTAAGTGCTGATTCATGATCGCAAAATATTATTATCGAACCACGGCAAATTTATTATTTATCCTCCTTCCTTGAAAATCATTTTCAGATTGGATTTATTTTCGAGTCACCAGTTGATCTTGTCTATCTCTATTTTTGTATGTAGTTAATTCAACACATTGCTGACTATTCGTCGATGAATGTTTCAAGAAATTTCACCCAAAACAAAGCTCACCAAATAAGTAGTTTAATAGCTTGCGTAATTCAAGCTACGATTAAAATAAAAGCATTTCAAGATCTAAACTAACCCATTCAAAGTTATGCATATTACCTGACGTTATATTAAATAGATCCATATTGTAGTTAAAAGATACTAACGCGTACATTGAACTAGTATGTCTCAAAATTTACATCAAAACTTAATAAGAGAACCATTGAGAACAGACAGATATTTCATCCCACACTAGGACTAAAAAATCTAAAAATCTCTTCAAATCACCAACAGTGATAAATGTAAATTTTCTGGAATTTTACAGCAAGTTTTAATTTAAGTTTTTTCATCAATAAGATATTCTGTCACTAACATGGGCTCGTCTTGTCGAATTGAAGGATACAGAGAACTCAGTTAAGTCGCTTAGCTAAGCTACTCAACTCGTAATCAGGTCACTTGTGTATCTTTAATAATTGTGCGCATAACGCGTACAAAGTAACAAGATTATGGGCAGTAATCATCCCAAATATGTAGTTCATAATTATTTTAAAGAGACGTGGAAAGCTTAAAACACAGTTGGATTTACCTATGACTTACAGTTTTCGAGTGCAGAAAAACACATATAATGATTGTCTGTTACAATCTGTGAAGTGTTTATGGTACCATCTCAGTTGATCAATTCATTTGCTTTCTCGTAAAACAGTGTGGGAGTTCAAAGATCAAAACGCTGAAATCCGATTTAAATGTGGCATACTTCGATCCCCAAAAGTTTATTTTATCTCTCAAAAATAGGGTGACTTGTATATGGAATATGGTAAAACAAAGTTTAGTAGTTTCACCGGATAGGTTAGGACACCAAACTGTGTAGAAATATTTGCCATTTAAGGTGTTTAATTGGTGAACACTGGGTTTTGACATTGGTCTTTTATCAAGTTGATGATGCAGACTAATGCTTTAGTGATGTCAATGAATAATGAACAATATATCCCTGTGCTTTATTGCTCAGTAATAGAATAGCTCAAAGTTTGGTTCTATATGGTATCGAGAATATGAAATTCTTAACTAGACTACAACAATCGTGTATAGTTTCCCATTGTAGTGAATAACTAAGTCAGTTAACTACTCCCAAAAGTCGGATTTTCACTGGTCTTTGCAAAATATAAACAAAATCCCTAAATCTACTGACCTTGCAATTTAAAGCTCTTCACACCAATTGTTGCCATTCTATTCAACTTAAGTTCAAGAAAAGTTGAAATTATCCCCTAAGATTCTCCAGCTAATTCCATTTTTAATAGTAATTAAAACATTAACTACATGAACGATCGTGAACACCTGATAGTCCAAGTATTATAATCCACTATTCCAACCAATGAATATTATTGTTATTATATTATAATTATTTATCACAGGTTTATTTTCATTTATAGGATCGTCTTTATTATGAGCAATTGAAATCGTTTGTTGCAGAAAATGAATATATGACAGATCAATTAATTTGTAAGGTACAGCTGAATTACGGATTTTTCATTTGTTTAACAAACAACATATTCATATCTTTAGGAAGTACAACTTACTGCCTCTAATGATGACATGCACTTTGTGTTTTGTGACTATGCATATCAGGTAAATAAATGGTTATAAAAATTTGTCGAATATAATTTTCTTTCATCCTAAACATTTTACACTAAATGAACTGTTCTTCACTCTAAGCTGTTCAGTCACTAACTTGACATTAACCGTCACTCGATAACGCCCCGAGGGTGTATTAATAAGAAGGCGAATACGAAGAGTTGATTACGGTTATTATGGGACAACACACAGATATCCAAATCGCAGGTACGCTAAGCAAGCATTAAAGAGTAGTACGGAAAAGCTAGCAGGCAAGTGAGCGAGCGAGTCATCAAATACGAGTACGAGTAAGCAAGTGCAATGAACATGAATAATATATATATTCTGATGGGAGATTTCAATGCCAACGTTGGAACGGACAACACTGGATATGAAGACATCATGGGACGACACGGACTGGGAGAAAGAACGAAAATGGTGAGAGATTTGCAAACCTATGTGCCTTCAATAAACTGGTCATACGCAGCACCATATTCCCATATAAACGCATACACAAACCCACATGGACTTCACCGGATCACACTACGCAGAACCAAATCGACCATATTTGCATCAACAAAAAGTACAGGAGGACGATGGAGAAAATGAAAACCAAGAGAGGAGCTGATATAGCATCAGATCATCACTTGCTGGTCGCCAAGATGAAATTGAAATTCAAGAAGCACTGGACAATGGGGCGGACAATACCACAAAAGTTCAATACGGCCATTCTTCAGGGTACTAACAAACTCAACAAATTCAAGATAGCCATCAGCAATAAGTTCCAGGCCTTTCATGATCTACTCAATGGAGAAGGAACTACTGTGGAGAGCAACTGAAAGGGGATCAAAGAGGCAATCACTCCAACATGTCATGAGGTCCTGGGTAACAAGAAGCACTATCACAAGGAATGGATCACTGTTGATACACTGGGTAAGATTCAGGAGAGGAACAAGACAGCAATCAATACCAGTCGAACAAGAGCAGAAAAAGCCAAGGCACAAGCTAAATACACAGAAGTAAACAAACAAATGAATAGGAGCATCAGAACCGACAAACGTAAATATGTGGAAGATTTAGCATCGACGACGGAAAAGGCTGCAAGAGAAGGAAACATGAGACAATTGTATAACACGACAAAGAAACTCTCTGGAAATCGCCGCAAACCGGAGCGACCAGTGAAAAGCAAGGAAGGCGAGGTAATCACCAACATCTCCCCAGCCAGGGAGTCGTGAAGGGCCAACACAAGCCAGCCCTTTGCAGCTTACTATCATACCACGACACCATGTCATACACTGACCACCTCTCCGCTGTTCCCAACCAGTCCCAGCGTCTCTGGGACGACATTTGTAGAACATGTCCAAGCCACCTAAGTCGGTGTTTCAATATGGTGACATCGATTGCATTATCATCTCTGTGCCCTAACACACGGTGCCGAACCTCTGCATTACTAACATGGTGTTGCCACCGGATATCAGCAATCCTTCGGAGACAACGATGATCGAACACAGAGAGTCTTCTAACGTCCTCGACTCGGAGAGGCCAGGTTTCACAAGCATAGAGCAGAACTGCTCTCGCCGACGCGTTGTAGATCCGACCTTTTACAGCCAGACTAACATCACGAAGGCGCCAAAGGTGGCCCAGATTGGCATAAGCCGCTCTGGCTTTCACTATTCGTGCATTGATCTCATCACTCACACCCCCACCAGCACTTATGCAGCTACCCAGATACACGAACTTCTCGACTATTTCTATCTGCTCACCATCCTGGGTGAGTACAGGATTAGAATCCTGCCAGTCTTGTAGAAGTACTTTGCACTTCGAAGGTGCAAAGCACATGCCATACCTACGGACACTGATTGCCAACTGATTAAGTGCGGATTGCATATCTTGGGCATTATCGCACAGTAAGACAATATCATCCGCATACTCAAGGTCGAGAAGTCTTTCTCCAGGCAACAGATCTACACCGCCATTACTTACACTCATCAGAGCTGCTTCCCGAATGTCATCGATGTCAAAGTTGAAGAGGAATGATGAGATTGGACAACCCTGCCTAACCCCACTGCTCGAATGGAACAATGGAGAGAGGTGGTTCTATGTCCTCACTCTGCCTGAGGTGTTTGTATATAGGGCTTTTAGGATGTTAATAAACTTCTCAGGCACACCCTTCTTCAATAGACAATCCCACAGAACAGTCCTGTCCAACGAATCGAAGGCAGACGTGATGTCAAGAAATACTACGATTGTTGGCCTTTGATAAGTATGACGGTGTTCTAACATTTGGCGGAGGGTGAAGATATGATCAATACGTCCTCGACCAGAACGAAACCCAGCCTGCTCCTCGCGAGTCAATCTTTCTCGGGTTTTGAACAACCTACGAAGAATGACGGAAGCCAATAGCTTGGACGCAATCGGAAGTAAACTTATCCCACGATAGTTGTTACAGAGACGACGTGAACCCTTTTTAAAGATAGGGACAACTATCAACTCATTCCATGACGTTGGTACACTCTCTAGTTCCCAAACCTTTGTAAACAACGTCGTCAATTCCTTAGTCATAAAGTCACCACCATCTTTACAAAGAGCCGGAGGTAAGTCATCTGGGCCAGGTGATTTCTAACGCTTGAAGAGTTGGAGTTCCTTGCGGACTTCCGCCTCATTTGGTGGATCAGTCGCCACCGGCCATGGAGGACAGGACAGTCTGACCGATGTTGCTGGAGCAGCAGGTCAGTTGAACTGCCCTTTGAAAAATTCTGCCCATCGTCCAAGACGTCGATGGATGTTAGTGATTGGCATCCCATCATCCTCGTAGATTGTTTCTCTCACACCAGACTTCTTGCTGCCAGTGGCTTGGATGAGTTGGAAGAGCTTCCGGTAATTACCAGATGCAGCTGCTGCTCCCAGCTCATTAGCACGCTTCGACCACTAGGCTTCTCGGTCGTTACGCAAGCTTTGCCCAACTTCATTACGTAACATCCTTCGTTTGTGGTCAAACTCACGGTCACCCGGAGTAGACCGACGGGCTTCAATGAGTTGTAAGGAGCCTGAGGAAGGCCAGTGCTTATAAGCGGGACGTTTCGCGAACCCACAACTGACTGTACCCGCCATTTTCATGGCGTCATGCAATTGCAACCAATGCTCATCTATGCTTTTCGGTGGAATGGTAGCTAGCCTAGAAACTAGCTCGGTTCGGTACTTACTAGCAACAGAAGTTGCAACCAGCTTGCTTGCATCAATCCGTTGGTGGCGGTCACTTCGTTGTCCACTGAAAAGTAAGGTAAGATTTGCGCAGATTAGTGATGCCTCAGCTCTAGCGCTTAGTGCGACACCAACGCCAGCAAGACCAGACGAAGATGCCACAGGGTCCCCGGATAAACGCACGTAAAACAAGCTTTTCGAAGCGACAGATGGACAGCGAATTTGTAGTACTACACCAGAGTCTTGAATACGAGTCTCGGATAGACAGCAGACATCGATATTAAGACTTTCCAAAGACACAGCCAGCCCTATCTGTTGTCCAACCTGCATAAGTGTGCGAACGTTGAAGGCAGCCAGTTTGATTGGTGCACGTGCTTTCAGAAAAACTGCTTCAGAACTCATATTCGGTGGTAACATACAATTTTCAACCGGACAGTGACTCGAGAACGTTTCGATAGAGTCGAATTTCCACCAAAGACGAGCTGCTGTATAAGTCGAAAAGTTAGGATAGACAGAGTGGGAATAAAAGAGAGTGAATAAATGACGTAAAAAATAGTAATAGTGGTAATAATAATTATAATCTGAATCACTTGACTGTTAATCGAAGCAAGACAAGTATTTTCCATAAATATCGACATTTCATCATATTTGTGTGTGGGCTGTGATACTGCCCGGGTGCCCAGACTGAGGCATGTGATTTTCTTGAGAGGCAAATGGCCGAGCCTTTGACCTAAATGTCTGATCCACAAGGCCGTTATGCATCTTGAGGAGATGCAGTTCCATGGTAGCCGGTGACCAACGAAATTTGTCCCCGCAGGATTCTGGAACTAGTGTGCACCATTGGTTTGGGATCCGGTTAAAGCGCCGGACATTCGCTTTTCATCTTCTCGTTTTCGTAAACAACACCCCCACTACGAGAAGGCAGTGAGTAGGACTTCCCTAGCAGAGGCTGTATACGCGTGGCCGTGTGAGAGCATTTGGAGAAAGAGGGTGGGCTCATCCCATCCTCAGCCATACCAGGTCATTTGGGGGAAATATTATTTGTCGTCATCGTATCTATAAGATGCTCCCATAGCTCGGAATCCTAAATATCGTATTGTCTATTAAAAATATCTTTCAAAATTACTAGTGATTTCTCTTGTCTAATATTATTATGGTGACTGAAAAATATGATTTAAGCAAATAAATATTTTACCGATTATTAGTGAAAAGGAAATGGAGAAAATAGTGTACATAATCAATATGTCCCTACACCTTACCCCTGAAATATATATTGCATAAATGGTCATAACATTTCATTGCTAAACAACTAGCTGAAATCCTACAACGAGCTAGAAATCAGCTCAATAGATATAACAGATTTATTTGATACCATTACTGACGTCATTATAACCACAAGGAGAACGTTATCATTAGATGTTACGTGACGCTTCACAAATGCTCCACTCAGAAGGATAGCATACTCCTTGTGTTACCATATTAAATAGAACAACCTCAATATCAGTATTCCGAAACAATTTCCAAAGGAACATGCCCATGCAATCACTTATAAATTCAGACAACTCTCTTCCATGTATATATAATTCAGTTTTAATTTGGTTATTTATTCTCTGAAGAAGTGACTTACACTAAGCCACGAAACGTCAGAAAATCTAATTTTTCTACTCATTGGGATATATACTATTTATTTATAATAATTCAAGACAGTTCACTTAACTTATTTGTACTTGGGTTTGCATATTGTAATTAATGATGATGTTAATATGGGCTGTTCCAACAATGGACAGCTTATTATCGAATATCTTTTTATGGTTAATTAAAATTAGGCAATCGAAACTTCACCAACACCTGTATTTCAAGTAACTTTGAGTGAAAATGTTTAGATTTTTTATTGGTAAATCAACTCATACAATATGCAATATAACCAATAAATTAATTAACACTATCTTTATGTGAAAATTAATAGCTACCACTAAATCAACGAAAATAATCAATAGAATGTATTTTTACTATTTCATTTTATCAGATTCTTCTGCCTTTTACAAGAGATCAGACCGTATTATCACATTTTAAAACTATGCTTGGATCACCACCAAGGATAATTATTAAAAATTCTAAAGAAACATATATTTATCCTCCTTCTGGAGTCATACCATTTCATGGTTTTTCTATGTATAGTAAGTGTTTCTGATTTTCCATTACAAATGTATTCAAATTTATCCAAATAATTTATTTTGAACTCTTATAGGACTAAACTTTGTACTCTTAATTACTTTTGTCCTTGGAGCTTCCATTTTTCCATGTCACTTTGATTTAGCGAAAACCGTAAAATGGTGACTAAAACATCGAGTAAATTAGACATATTTTGCCAAGTCAAATAATGTAATAAGGCTGCAAGTCAAGTCGAATTCAAGTATAGAGCCGCTTTAATGGGTAACACTAGTAGTTCACCTACCCAAAGATGTTTGAATTTGTAAACCATCTGAATCATTTTAGCCGTTTTAAGTATACACAAGCTGCAACTCGAGCTTACTTTTTGTCTGTTACTCCTATCTAGTCGAGTTAATCAAGCACTGTTATCCTTCATTAATTGCTGATTTAGATTGTACGACTAAGTCAATAGAAATTTCAGATGTAACCATTGTGAATTTTCTTTGATAAATTCTACTATATCAAACATTTAGCAGCAAGGGGGATATATGACATAAACGAGAATGGCTACAACTTACATTAGCATAGCTAATGTTAATCAAAATATTATTTGTTATACCAATGTGTTATTATGTAATAACATACTATTTTAATAGTTACTAGAACATTTTACTTAACGATAATTATAATTTCTTCACTTCATTTGGTTTATTGCTTAACGTGTTCAAATCAATTAAAGCTCACAATAATAATACGAATTTTTATAGTAATTAGTTACTTTAAAAATTTTCTCTTATTCACATTTCGTACACTTTAATTTTTTTTCACTATAGTGTTACCATTATGTTATTTATATGACGACCCAGTCACTTTGTATGTAACATTTCGTCAATTATATATACGTTACTTTTACAAACTACATACCATATCCGATGAAAATAGTGTAAGTCTATCATTTATTAAATCTTTCGCATAACCATAAACCAAACAACTTTGTATAGTATGAATGATGTATCGAATCTTATAGATAAAAAGTAAACTTCTGCACTATATCTTGAAAAGTAAAACTACGTGATTTAAATGGTGTTGATAAGCTCAAAACTAAGAAAACAAAAATCCAAATCAACACTTTATTAGAAAGTTGATTACAAATTATAATTTACTTACCTATTTATCTTTCGTAATTATCAGGGTATTTTATGCTTATGCCTGTTATTTGAACGTTTGTTACAAACCAAGGAGCCCGAGATTTTCTTTCATTTAAAATCATTTGGTGCACAACCGTAAGTTGAATTTTTATAGAAGTTATCTAATTTCCTCATAAAACCAACTTTAATATATTTTCTTAGTCTTAATAATTATATATTAGCTTTTATTACTAGAATGGAATAAACAGAGGTAGTGGTAAAAGTAGAAAGAAAGCCTGAGCATTAATTCAAATTGAGCTGGAAACTTCCTAGGTAGTTATCTATTTAATTTATTCGCTAATATACCATATTCATTCACTGACTAAATGTCTTTCATTGTTAAACTGCTTGTTTCAGACCACTATTATCGGACGCCGATAAGCATGCCTGTGTTTTAGAACTTGACGAATGGTGAATATGTGTTCAATACTTCTATGAATCCGATGTTTGTTTTGCTGTACTAATGAGGTGTGACAACTTGGACCGATGCATGTATGTGCCTGGTCCTACGTTGTAACTGATCGACCGACTGAAACTGCTTGTATTATTATTTAATTATACTACAGGATTATGCTGTGCATCAGTCAGGTTCACAATTAATGCAACAATGAAATGATAAGACGTATCTACTATGGTTAGTTTGCAATATATGAACACTATAATGTTCACGAAATTAAACACAATAATTGGATTCTAGAATATGGGTGTTAAAACAGTTTTAGTTCTCTTAATCACTGGGATGAATCAGACAGAAGTCGACTTTTGTAATTAACTGAAACAATATCCAGGATACAGCCTGTATTTAAATTTGATAATATAATCCAGTATCCTGTAAAAATATTTATGGTAGGCTAAGTTTAGATCAAAAAAGCTATGGTAGAAATTCGTGATTAACATACCAAATGATTATCTTTAATTTCAAGAGTGATTCGCCAAATGAAGCAGAAGAATACACCACCATATCATGTTGTTGAACTGATGATTACCATAGCGTTTGAGGAAATCATTGATACTGTCAGGTTTACAATATAAATATAAAATTAGGTAATAAATTCACTGTACCACCAAGCCTAATTGAGGTGCCTAGTGCTGAGACAATCGCTAAAGTAATGTCGGTTGACTGGCCAAAAAAGAGCAAAGTGTATTTTGATAAACACTTAAATTATATGGCTTTTATTCGAAATGTGTTCCGAAATGAAAAAAGACATCTGCAGTGTAAGCTTGAGACCAATCGTTTGCTTTAGGCTTGTAACGCTAAAATTTCAGTAGGTCACTTTCACACAAACAAAAGCAGTGATTCAAACAGACCATTATTCGTTTCTCTCATATAACTAAAACACGAATTTCAGCGAAGGGATCTCTTCAACGAATTTATTATCAAGCTGTACAATCGTATATATATGAAGATTTTGTTTTTGTAAAAGTACTAATTCTGTGAGGAAATGTGAACACAGTTAATAAAAAGGTTATAATACTAGATTACGTAATACGAATAATAACAATAGATTTAGTGAATAAAATAGCCGAAGCACTTACCATCCAGGAGCTTAAATCAGAACTAGGCGTACAAAAGAAGTACGTCTTATCGTTATCGTTACCTTGGCCTTAAGTATTTTGATTACCCAATTATTATTATTATTATTATTATTATTATTATTATTATTATTATTATTATTATTATTATTATTATTATTATTATTATTATTACTGCATTCCCCCCTTTACTTATGTCTTATATTCTCATTGTTTTATTCGTGAATACTCATCATATCACCTTTTTTATTTTTACACCTCTATGACCTTTAATTATTATAACAAAAACATTTTAATAATCTTATTAGAAACGGCCGTCCAGTGCTTCCAGGTTTCCAACGGTGGTCTAACATCAATTAATTCATGATCTCAACCAAAAAACTTTTACAAAAACAAAATTTTCATATATATACGATTGTACAGCTTGACAATAAATTCGTTGAAAAGAGATCCCTTCGCTGAAATTCGTGTTTTAATCTCTCATATAACTAATTTTCTCACTAAAATCTGTTATATATGTTTTCAAGAAACTATAAGCTTCAGTGTGGTTAGACTGTCGATAAATCTCTTAAATCATACAGAAATATTATTAAAAACACTTGGAGAAAATGACAAATTATCTGATTGTTACAGACGTATTCATTTTAAAAAAGTACGAAGTAGCGAAACAGTAATCATAAACATTGATATCAAAAGAAGCATTAAAATAAGTAAAAAGAAGAAAGGAAAGGACACTACATCAACAACAAACGTTTCCTTTCGAAACCAAACTATCTGCCCTTCATTGATTTTGCAGTAGAAACAGAGTCAATCATCATGGTTCGAACCGCAGTTAGTAATTAAAATTCAGGGTCTCAAGGTGCAAGTTGTATTTGAATGTATTTTCTGAACAAGTTCTTATAATGTATGCCATCAATAAAGGAATAGTTCGGTGAAACAGTTCAGTATGATGTGGTTGGTGCAAAACATTTTGGTATATGACTTCAAAGTAGCACATTTTAGGCGTATAGTTACGTTCACACTCGTGGTGACTTAAAGAAGGCGTAACGTTAAACGCTGATTTTTATTCTTTCTTTAAAGGTTAACGTATATATTCATGTGTTATAACTTGTTGTCTGAGTGCCATGCTAATGTATACGTAATGATACCGCCAATTAGAGAGCAGTGACTTATCGATCAAACCAGTGACGCGTAAAACACGTGCGAGCAGTCTATAGTCCTGATTGGTCCTGCATTTCACCTAGCCCAGCCAGTTAAGTCCAGAACACAAATCTCAGCCTCTGTGATGTGAATCATGTATCTAAAACAATACGGGGTTTATATACCAATCAAACAGACTACATCGTAAAATAGAAAGCAACATTTGTACAAGATTTGACCAAGTGTGGCTGTGAAGGTGGGAGGTAGTGATTAATAGACAGGGTATAATTCAAGCATGGTGAATCGTATAATAATAGTTCATAGGTCAAGATAAAGCTCATGATAAGAGGGACATTATTATGAATAGTTTAGTTATTCAAAAATTATACGATAAAAATGTACGTATAGCATTGATCCATAAATGGATCACAAAAGTTATCATTCATTGTGCTTATCGAGACATAACATCATGAATGTCATTAATACCTAACTATTTCAATATCACATTACTGATCATGTCTTCAAGTCTGATTGTTCGTTCTGTTACTAGGATATAAACAAAAGTTGAATTTTTATTTAAATTGGATGCCTTGCTAGAACATGAGATTTGTTTTTTATATAGAAGCTCTAAAGTAAATTAAAGATTTCTCTCACGAAACAAATCCCTCTCAAAAGTATGTAATCCAAACTGAAAAATCACGTCTTACTGTTCAAAACCTCAATTTTTATGTACAAGAGTTTATAGAATGGTCAAAAATTCATCTTTATTGTAGAGTCCTTGTAAAAATAATCCTAATGTAAACTTAGCAATAACACTATTAAAAAATTCTACGCCTGAAGGGCAAATATGTTTCACTGCTCTGAAAACAGCACACACAGATCTTCCTATAGATGTCAGTCCACCAACGACGGAAGAAATCAGAATGGCCATCAGACAAATCAAGAGCGGGAAAGCAGCAGGACCCGAAAATATACACTATTGTCAGTACCAGGGGAAGTCTTTAACAGAGTGTTGGTGGACAGGATGAAAGACGTAGTAGACGCCCAACTTCGAGATCAACAAGCTGGATTCTGTAAGGATCGGTCGTGCACAGACCGAATTGCGACACTACGGATCATCGTCGAACAATCAATTGAGTGGAACTCAACACTGTACATCAACTTCATTGATTATGAAAAGGCATTCGACAGTGTAGATAGGAGAGCGTTATGGAAACTTCTTCGACACTACGGAGTTGCTGAGAAGATTGTCAACATCATCCGGAACTCATATGACGGACTACAGTGTAAGGTCGTGCATGGAGGACAGCTGACAGATGCATTCCAAGTAAGGACCGGAGTCAGACAAGGCTGTCTACTCTCTACCTTCCTCTTTCTTCTGGTGGTCCACTGGACCTCGACATCTGAGGGAAGACACGGAATACAATGAACAGCTCAGAATCAATTAGACGATTTGGACTTCGCAGATGACCTAGCCCTCCTATCGCATACACATGAACAAATGCAGATAAAGACAGCCAGAGTAGCAGCAGTTTCTGCATTAGTAGGCCTCAACATACACATACACAAGGGGAAAACCGAGGTCCTCAAATTCAACACGGAGAACAGCAATCCAATCACTCTTGATGGCAAAACTCTGGAAGATGTAGAGTCCTTCACATACCTAGGAAGCATCATTGATGAGCAAGGAGGTTCAGATGCAGACGTAAAGGCAAGGATTGGCACAGAAAGGGCCGCATTTTTACTATTGAAGAACATATGGGACTCAAAACAACTTTCAACCAATATCAAAGTCAGAATCATCAATACAAACGTCAAGGTAGTCAGTTCTACTGTACGGAGCTGAAACTTGGAGAACTACAACAACCATCATCAAGAAGGTACAAGTATTTATAAATAGCTTTTTACGCAAGATACGCAACATCCATTGGCCGGATACCATCAGCAACAGCCTTCTCTGGGAGAGAACAAACCAGCTTCCAGATGATGAAGAAATTAGGAAAAGACGATGGAAATGGATAGGACATACACTACGCAAATCGTCAAACTGCATCACGAGGCAAGCCCTAACTTGGAATCGTGAAGGGAAGCGGAAATGAGGAAGGCCAAGAACACATTACGTCGGGAAATAGAAGCAGATGTGAAAACGATGAATAACAACTGGAAGGAGCTGGTAAGGATTGCCCAGGACGGGGTTGGATGGTGAATGCTGTTGAGCGGCCTATGCTCCTTCACGAGGAGTAACAGGCATAAGTAAGTAAGTAAGCTACGAAAACACATACATACCACATTTAATTAATAAATGCAAAAATATTTCTCAACTATCACTATTTACAAGAGTAATTCATTACTCTTTAGTAGCTGAAACGACTAACTCAGCAATGACTGATTTATTTTCTCTAATTTTACACTGATGCATTGAATAATCTATATGGTAAATGAACAGGATAACTTCCCACTTCTTCCAGTATAGAATAACTAAACTGTTATTGTATTGATATAATTCAGAACTGTGTAACGTGGTTTGGGATTATGAGGCTAACAATGTTTACTTATTTTCCTAAACGTATATAACCGATATTATTACATGTGATCAGTTCTTCACACACAGAAAAACTATCACAATTGTTGTGAATTTTATCACTTGTTTCAACAAGTAATGTTTAACTTTTTAATAACTTTTCTTCAGTGTCCGTTTTATATTTAAATGGCTAGTGCGTGCATTCAGTGGTTTTTTGGCACCTGACCAAGTACTTTTACTATGGGATAGAATCCTTGGATTTGATTCTTTGGAAATTTTATCAGGTGCAGACAACTGTAAAATGTTTTCTTATATACAGTAAAATAATTGTGTACATTTATGTTTTGTATATGAATACGAGTCGACCGTAAATGAAGCATACAGACATAAAATACTCTGGTTCTCGACACTGCTCGGTAATTAAAACAAAGTACTGGACATAATAGTTGAAACTAATAGCTGACTTCACCAACTGTTATTTTGATATGTACCAGAAACCTAGGCTTCCTATCTGAACTGTTCAGTAAATTAAAACTGGGAGATCACAAAACCGTCAAATAATAGTGTAACTTTCACCAAATATATTTTCGCATAGATGAAGTAAAATGCTTCAATCTGATAAGCCCATTGATCTCTTTCGTAGTTTTCCAGACAGAGCATAAAGCCACACCAACAAAATCACATACATCTGTACTAACTCCTGAAGTCTTTTTTTGGAAAACTTGCTGGTTGCTCTTAATCACAACGATCAAATTGAAGTTTTGTCGACGAAATAGTCGTCGCCAGGATAACCTGAAAATAATACTACCGATGGGAAGAAAGAAGTCCAGTGTCGGTTGGCGACGTAGATCATCAGTATAATGCGTTTTAAATTAACGAAGCTTTGAGAGCGGTGTTCGGTCCGCTTCTTATCTACATATCTGGAAAAACGGTTATGATTGTGTTCTCTGCCTACTCTAAACACAATAATTCCACTAACGTACATACTGAATGAGCTAGCAATCAAGTACTCACGTAAAATCAGCCTATTTCAAAACCGCCAGTCGGAACATTAGAAAGTCCGGTCAAGAACCACTTACTGTCCAGAAAAAAGTTATTATATAAAAATATATAAATATATCAAAGCGACTACATAAATAGAGGATCATAATACACCGTAAATTTTTATAGGTTTATAGACAATTACCTAAATTTCTCTGAATAATAATAGATGTCTCTACCTTTAATTGGTCAAACGAAAGCTAACATTTAGGATAATAATAGAATATCGTGAATCAGTTATCGAATGAATAAGTAATAAGTGCAGAAACAGACATCCAAAAAATAATCCCTTGATTTTCCAAGGGTTATTTCCGCTCTTCTAAACATTTTCTGTATAAATGGGAATTTTAATTATACCCACGGCAATTTTGTCGCTGCAAATTAAATTTACTATCTAGAATATGGTTTTCAAGCTACAATTTCTGAGAAGTCACTAGCTATGAGTTCTCTTAATCTTGATTATATTGAAGATCAGATATCTTTTCATAAATATTGACAAAATTACAAGAAACCTAATATATCAGACACAACTGGTAGCGTGACAAATTTGATTCAAGTATTAGTATAGGGTTCTGGATATTTTTTAATTGAGATTATCGACCGATCACTGTTCAAACACCAGTGAAAACATGGTAGCTCAGTGGTCTAGAGGTTAAGCGCTCGCGCGCGATCACTGAGTCATTCATATTCATAAGTTTAATTGTTTAACTACAGTTATAACTGTCGCTATATTCTCTTACCGTAAGATCGTGAATGTAATGCATAATTACCGAATAATAGACATAATTTCATGTGAAAAATTTACTCACTGAACACAATGGGAGATGGATGCGCAATATCGTGGGATGGCTGAAGTTAGACATTAAAATCGTTGGTTAACGGCTCAGTGGACTAGAGGCTAAATGTTCACTCGAGATCGAAATCCATGGGTCTGAGTCATACGTGCGGAATCGTAGATGCGTGTGACTGAGGAGTCCTGTGTTAGGACGAAATGGCTCTTCGATGTTTCCAAGTGTTTAATGGTTGTCCAACTTAAATCGGTTCATGATCCCAATGAAAATCTACTGTTTCTGTGGTATGTGCTACTTATGTCGACATAAGTAGTATATAACGCAAACCAGGAATAGAATATCTGGCAGCGGAAGGTTGGGAAGATCGAAGAGGAAAGAACGAGAACAGAGAGTAATTGGTATGGAAATGAAGTCATTGTGTTCAGTGGGTAAATTTTTCACGTGAAATTATGCATATCTTTTGGTAATTATGCATTACATTCACGACCACTGTGTCATTTATACTCATAAATTTAATTGTTTTACTACAGTTCTAGCTGTCGCTATATTCTCTTACCGTCGTACTAATCTACTTCTGGTGAAAACAAATGCAGATGTTGAGGTGTGAAAATTGTTTGATACATTAAATTAATGTCTGTTTAAATTTACTTTACGATTCCTATTATTCCTGACAAGATTATAATTTCGAAGTTTAAAAACCATTCACCAGTGCAAATATATTTAGCCAAGAATCGTTTTTGAGAAGACTGCTTACAAACACTTCACCAAATGTCTTAGTTATGAGGTAAAACTTGGATAAACATTTAGTGCAATCAGTCATACGCAAAGAAGAAAATGACACATATGTGGATCGGTTCAAGCTCCCATGCCATATCAACACAGAGAGATAAGATTATCATTGAAATCATCAACCGACCTTAGTTAGCCATTAAAAACTGGACGTACTAGACTGCCGTTTGTTCCTAGCATGGGACTCCTTGGCAGTGTGCATCCACAACAACGCGACCGGGAGTCGAACTCATAACATTCAATCTCGCACTCATACTTAACCTCTAGACTGGTGTCACGTCTTAATTCGATCAGTCTGTAACTTTCTTCCAACGTACTCCTACAGCAAACAGTGTCACCCCTCGAGACATGGTATAAGTAATCCATGTCCCCAATACCTCAGTTGATGAAGATGCACAACCTCACCAACCGATTCACCATGCATCGAGAATACCTATCTCGAATACTAGTAACCTACGGATATCCCCCATTCCTAATGGCCATGTTTAACACCCATAAAGTAGAATCTCGAGTGCGTTGGGAAAAATAATGTTTAAGGTTAGAAAAGAATATGTTTCCATTATTCGTCAAAAGCAAGAGCTCGTTTTCATAGCTTAGAAACGAACTTCCATTTATAAGTACAAGTTTATAAAGTCAATAAAAAATTTCAAGTCTTTAGTAAGAATTGGAACGAAAATCCAGGAACTACTAAATAAATACTATTGATGGGAATGATTTATGTATCTGATACAAAAAGCAGCTCGAAAAACAAGATATTTAATAAAGTTTGATCATATAACACGAAATTACAGAACTCAATCCGAAATAATTACACAGCAGTTCCGTTAGTTCACGTAGTAGAGTAGTTCACCAAACAACAAAATTAGCGGCTACTACACTTGATCATTAATATTCTATATTTCGTCACATTGTGCTGAAATATGTACGGAAAACATCATAATGTACTAAGTATTGGGGTAAGATTCCCTTTTAATCTAGTATTTTTCTGGGTTAAATGGTCAAAAACATAGAACCCTTAAGTGATAACTCGCAGCCATTTAATTTAAGCACGTAATAAGAAATATGGTCCTGTACTTCTATATACACTAACTTCAAAATATTTGAAAATAAGGTCTTTAATTAAGTTTCGAACTGAACTAATAATTTTGAGCTCTACTAATAAACATTCATGGTCTAACCCAAATAGGCGTACGTATAGTGAACAACTTGATTATGAACAAACAATTAAGTAGCGTTTATGTATTGATCTAATAATTTACATTCACTTAAACGTAAGTAATAAATGCTCAACTTTTATTTCCAGGCGGTTTTAGCAGACTTGACATCCATACGAGTGATCAGTCTTCTCCAAATGGTTATGTTCACAAACTGAAGTTATCATACGGATATGTTAAGTTGTGAAAATTTTGTATATTCCAATGATACTGCATTATACAAAATTTGGACTATTTTCTTTAAAATAACTAATTTGGTAATATTATCAGTCAAAATAATCTGTCAATAAATTTCGACAAAATTTCGGGATGTACAGTATAGTTTTAGCTGAATGTTCAACAAAACAATTTCGAAGGTCCAGAAAGCGTATTTGACTGGTTTGCTTTAAAGAGATAAGACGTCCGAGTATTCTGTCGTCATAAAAACCTAAGCTATTGGCTATAAACGTGTTAGCCTTTCTAAGCGATGCGCGCAAAGTTACTTAGCATATCACCATGAGTCAAATAAACAGCCATAATATTCAGATCGTTTCAAAGAACACTAGAACTTGAGTTATAAACAGCAATTTACTTTCAATCATGCCCATCACAGCTACCTAGATTACGAAACCTCTCCTTTAAATAAAATGTTTAAATATAAAGGTGAGTTGGGTTATAGATCATTCTCGTACCTGTAAAATCGTATAATTAAGTATCAAGTTGCCGAGAAAGCTTAGCAAGTCAGTTATTTTTCTAACAAAAACTAATTACAGTCTGAAGTATTATTTAAGTGCTAAGCGAATTCACTTGTGATTCTATGGAGTTGAAAGCACAAACGGAAATGTCTGTGTACTATTCTGTATATATACAGAAATCAAGATTAAAGCAGTTGCAGGCTGTGATTGATTCTATACTCCAGCAAGATTTTATAACCTCCATATAAATGATGAGGGTTTGCTCACTTATTTATATAGGTAGGAATTACACATAGCGGATTTTAGTAACAACGGGATAAGCTGTTGTGCGTTATATGAACAGAACCATCTTGCATGATGAAATATGTCACTAACTTTATATCTCATATTCTATCAATAATCCCGTTTATAGCATATATCTGAAATTAGAGCAACAAAAACTGAACAAATATAATAAGTTTTCGCAATGCGATTGATCTTCACTGAATTAGTATGATCTATCAAGGAAAAATGTCATGAACGTGAAAATACTTTATTTCCGTTGAAAAAGTCGTAAGCATAAAGCAGTTTTTGTTAACAAACATTATATTTCATACTTCTTATATTCCATCCCATCTGGAGGTCGTATTTCAACTTTACCTGCTCCAACTTCACTCCAATTGGTGCTGAGGACTGTACCAGCTGATTCCGTCTAGAATAAAAACATCAATGCATTACAACTCTTTAAAATCAATAAAAGGATATCCCCAAAAATACCTAAAATACTGAATTAGGATTGTTAAAAACTTTGCTTGACATAGGATTTTTTCGGTAGCGACTGGGATAAATGAAAGCTTTCAAAAAAATGAAAATCCAAGGGTCGGACAATACTGCACTAATTTGGACTGCAGTATCGAAGAAAATATGTTAATACAAGTACGATTTTCAAAGTAAAGATGAAAGTGGTTATGTGCGATCAGCCGTACACAGATGTTATGTAGGCTTCTAAAGGATATCCCATTTTTACATGTAAAAAACCACTTTAATTCGTCTTAAACTTTTTTCCACCTCGATAACTGATATTATCAGATTTTAGGGAGTTAAGGCATTGGATCTTTGATACAAGGTTTGACAAACAGTTACCACAATTTTACAGGAGCATAAAAATAATTACTTTCAGTCGTACGCTCTGCTTCGCATCACCTATTTGATATAACGGCTAAGCGAAGACGCTGAAGGAATAGGATATATATTAGTATTTTCTGGTTTTCGAGCTATATAAATGGAGTTTTCACTGTATAGAGGACAGGTTTTATTGATATACACGGCAGTCATTCACTTCATTTTGCACATAAGAGTGAAATTAAACAGGAAAACACCAATAAAAAGCTTTGTGAATTCCATTTCAACAAAACGATAACGGTGATTAGTTGTAACAAATTCATATGCTTCCAGATAATATTAACTTTGGAAGTGGAAAAAGAAACTTTTTCTGACGACAGTGAGTAGGATAAGCTGCTGAACTTTAGACTGATAGTTTACAAGATAGACAGTATAAGTAGAAGTGATAGTCTATGAGAGAATAACAGATTACATCACCAATTGATCCTAGAATTCAAATATTAAAAGATAATTGAAATCTCGGACCACTTCAAAACAAAACGGACCTCGATGGTAGTTAACAGTCTACTGGATTGAAGGTATTTAGGAGACGGGACGATAGGCAAAGGTAAGTGATGACAATAGAATTTATGAATTTCATTTGTAAATTCACTAAAAGTGAAAGGAGACAAGCGGAGGACTTTCAAGAGTAACTCTAATAGCTTAAGTTGCAGAAAAGACTGAATAATCAATTTTGGGAGCATTTGGAAACCTCAGGTCTCAAAAGGTAACTTTTGACGTTCTATCTTCATTTGCCTTTAAAGCCACTGTCCACAACTATTATTCACATGGACAATAATTTAGGATCTGGGACATATATCTGTCTAAACTCCCAAACGGGGAGAAAAACGATAACTTGAGGTGTATAATAAATAATACTAACATTAGAAATAAAGAACTCCAGGTAACGTTCGCTGACCAAAATACATTTAAGTTTAGTTTTTAAGTATATCACTCCCTGAAATGTTTGTATATTTTCGGCTGACGAAGAGCCTTCAAATAGAATGCGTTCAGTCCCTTACGGAAATATTTTTTCTGTTCAAATCAAAATCGATGGATCTGGGTCATTGAAAGCGATTTTGCGTAAGACAGCGTAAAGAAACAAAGCACTCGTTTGTACCTCAGACTTGAAGTAGATAGTCTACATCTCCCGAAACACTTCAGACAAACAGTCATTCTATTCAGGAAATGATACCGTATTTTGATCAGACCTAGAGAGAACTGGTTAAGGATTAACACAGATCTTCAGAATTATTTAATTTCATAGTGTTGGCTCCTGAATGAGAACCTTTCGTCAGACATATGCCAAGTAGAACCTGGTGCTTGTGTACATTGGTTCAAGTTTCCACACCCCATTAGAACATCGAGGTGAAAACACTACAAAAATTCCAAGAGTAATAGAGGTTGTAAGAGTATTCGTTATGATAAAACAGATAATACATCAACTTTACAACCCAAGAAAAAAACGTTAAGTCAGTTGAACGAAAAAAAATTCTGAAGAATTTAGAAAATCGGGATCTACAGAAAGATAAACAGTAAATGCATCTGAGAAATTCCAAACGATTTCGACCTATATTAAAAACTCTCCAACTATTCTTAACGATAATCAACCAGACCCTAACCAGGTAGTCTACACTTACCTAAATAACTCAATCCAAAAGTATCTTCGTAGATTGATGTCGTGTCTTACATATGGCATGCGAAATCCGTCAAGTATAGAAACGGTAGACTAATTTCGAAAACTAACTTACTCTGACATCTGAGTGTCGGAAAGATCAATCAACGTCCTCAAAAACGTATGATATCCTTACATAAATTCAACAAAACACCTTTGTCTTAGAACCAGGGTTTACTGTTTTTCTTTTTTAAAAATTTTAGTAGCCTTTTATCCAAAGTAGTTCATAGGCTTGTGGGAATCAGCAGGCTCAACAATCATATCATCATAACAATTAGGCTTCTGTTGAAATAGATGTATAACGGACAGTTCTATTTAAATTTATTCGATAATTGTCTCAACTTATGAAAACGTAATTCCCACTTCATAATCTTAAGAAATTGATTTGAATATCAGATCTCCAAACCTTACTATCTTTAATTACGGAACAGTGATGAGTGATTGAGAATAGTACAGGAAAACAAGGATTAAACCAGATTTTATTAACAGACGTATTCCTCTACACTGGTAAGTAGTTTTGAAACAGGTGATCAAGGTTCAGACAAGAAAAGTAAATGAACCAATAATGTTGTGAGACTTTGACTATGACCGGTGCAGAAGTGTTATGGTAAGGGAACACATGCAATATCAAGGCATTTCTCATAAATTTCTTATCAGTTAATGGTCATTACCAGCCACGGGAGTCGCAAAAAAGCTCTTGTAAAACTACACTCCTGGTTTTATACTTGCACGTGAACATAAACATAGTTATCGACGCCCGATTATACTCATATTTCTTAACCTACAAGTAGCATCTAATTCTTTCGACCTAGGTTTAAGGGCAAAATGTTTCATTGAAAGACATATCGAATATCCATCCAAATCTTGTTAATGTTTTCTACTCGAACCCTATTGGTTGACTCAGCACTTATGGCGAACTTTGAGCCTCAAGTAGTATTGGGGATGTTCAACCTTCAAATACAAGAAAACTAAAATCGATGTAATCTGATTGTAAGATCAACTTCCAACAAATTTCCGTTACATTGCTCTATCAACTGATATAATTCAGTTTATTGAAAACCACTCAGTTCGCAGTCCTAATCATTATAACTGATACATAACTGAATAACTTTAAATGTATCTTCAATCCCACTGGAATCATCACCAACACCACTCCCATTACGAAAGTGGACTTCTCTATGGTCAGTAGGCAGGGGGAAGGAAAGGATAGTAGTTTTGTTTGCGGTATTGAAGTCGGAGTTGGGAGTACATTAGCTTAGTGCACGAGCATATCAGATGGTTTTCATCAGAATTGCCCACTACCCCCTCTTATTTAATGTGCTCAAAGATGCTCTCTTACAAACAACACTTCTCGACTTTCCAGAGGTTAGTCTCGCACCAGGACGTTCACTTATCGAATTAAAATACCTAACTGATATAGTTCTGTTTGATGATAACGCTGACGAAACACAGTTTCTTGGCTACCTCGAACAGCAATCTAGAGATGTTTGGGATGCGTTTCTTTCCCCATAAATGCAAAATGTTGCCTGGACTGATTATAAGGAGTAAAGTAGTTAAGTATCTTGATCGCTTCACTGATCTTAGGAGTCCTGGTGGGTTGGTCTCGGAAAGGATCTAAGAAAGCTCGGTTAGCCCCAATCAACTTGCGTCACTTTTGGCGTGCGCTAAATGTCCGTTCACAGACAAAGCGCGTTTGTATTGCGCAGCAGCCTGTCCTGTTCTACTGTGTGGCTGTGAAACATGCTATCTGAAGGTAGAAGACAAGCATAAGCCCCAGGTGTTTGACCATAGGTTTCTTCAAGGAATTGTTAGCGTTTCATGGGTCGACGGAGTGGGCAATCATGAGGATGGACATAGGGTACTCGTTAAAGGTCGCAAATCAATTAGTGAGGCGGTGTAAATTCATAGACTAAGGTGGTAAGCGAATATATTACTTATGTCTAAACACAAATCGGCTCTGGTTAAGTTAGTAAACAGTGAAAGATAAGATAATCCGATTAAAAACAACTATGCGGGACTAGTCAAGAAATGAAGTCATGGGATAAGATATATTTGTCAACTGATGACAAATTACCGCTACTATTCACGTCAATGTTCTATACGTGAAAGGCATAGATAATTTGTCCGTTTCGTTTAGGTAAAATAGACTGTCTAGTCTGTTGGGATAAAATCAAGCAAATACCTGTTTGCTTAAGGCACATTCGAAATTGAAACGACAATCTAAACTTCAAGCCAAAACTCTTTAGTTTACTAGAAGTAAGAGAAAAGAAGGGAAAACCTACAAAACTTTTGATCATTGCCCTTCTAGTTTCATCTGAGGCATTTTCGTAAATATTTCTGAACAATTTGTTTAGAGGGTCTTCTTCTCCCTCTATTTCAGCTGCTTCTTTATCGATCTTATTCCAATCGTGTGCAGATTTGCTTGAAGAAGGGTAGGAGTGAACAATTTTGGTGACATCATATGACGTCTCTGCAAAGAAATAGAGAAAATGAATAACATGGATAGAGGTTATGCTTTATATGCGCCAAAATGAAAATACACCGACTTTTACAGACAATCGTAATGTTGAAGAACGAAAGGATTACTTATGATTTCTCACTAACCTACGTTATTGCACAAGTGAAATATGTTAACTAGATAAACGGCGAAGTGATCTTAAAAATAATGTCCAACGGATACTAGCTTTTCAGTGAGACTAAAATTTATGTAAGACCTTTAAACGATCCTTAAGCGATCTTAACAATGCCCACTTGCGTAAGAGTTAAATGAGTTTTAATTTAGTAAGGAATTAAATTTAGGATTTAACGTTGGACATCAAAGTTTTCATAACAGACTTAAGTCAGCTATAATACCAAAAAATATTTAACTATATGAATAAGTGAATGCCGCACCACAATCCATGACTTGCTATCCTACATCTAATTAGACTCGCTAGCTTTCCCACTACCAGTAGATGAAACGTTATTAAAATCAAAAGTCATAACAAAAGAAACTTTGAAGGATTCAGTCATCGAATAAAATTTTTGTCAGGACGGGGTTTCGAGTTTATTATCTGGATGTACTTGGTTCGCAAATTAAAATTTGGAAGTAGATTTCTTAGATTATCTTGATAAATACATTTTAGAGACGCTGCAAATACAGAAATATTTGTTTTACAAAGTTTATTTGAAGCAAATCGATAGTAAGCGTGACTAAGTAATGAGCGAAGCAGTATCTCAAACAATATATTAGAGATGAATCCATTGCAATCGATTTCAAAGGCTTGTCATGGGAGTTAATAAAAAATACAAGATTCATTGCAGCAAACTACCGTCCACCTAAAAACCATCCTAACACAACTCTTTGAACAGGGTTAAACGTACCTACGAATCTTCACATCAAAAAGCAAGTACGTTTGGATTGCTACTTCTTAACGCTGAACAAAGGTAGGCAAGTGAACTAATACAGCGTTATGAATGAAGAGACTGACGTACAATTATAAGTAACTGAGATATTGAAAAAGTAAAATACTTAGTCCATTGACCCCAAAACTTGATAACTACGAACTTAAGATACAAACACACTGTACTCCTTCCGAACTACTATAATACATTATAATATCAAAGAACACGTGTAGATATGAATAGTCAATTTTGATACACTCACTCGACCAACTAATGTCACTGTAGTGTCTAGTACTATGTCAAGCCCACATAGGTTATTCTAGCTTACAGAGTTACATTCTGACCTTGTCAATAATCCGTCTATTAACCTTGACTGTTTTTATATCAGCGTATGTGTGTGTATCGCTTACCCTACTTATCACATATCCAGCTTATTTGTCCGGCTATAAATATGGAGTCATGCTTAATCAAGTAAGGTCTGCACACTTGTATTTTATGCTTTTTATTATTAGTTTTTCTCAACAGACGAGTGCGTGAAATAAATACATCCCACTGACGACAGATTAATTAAATCAAAAAATAGTTTGACAAATCTATAACTGCACCCTAACTAACTTCAACTTACGAATTCCTGAACCAGTGATACAATCTTGAAATTCCAGATGACTCCAGCAAACTTTATCTGCTTTCTTTAACTTGATTTCGATTTTCGTGGCGGTGACACGGTATGATGAATCTTCTGGCACAACTTCATGGAGCAACTGGAATTTCTTGAGCAACTCATCACCGGTGGGAATAGTCAGGTACAAAAAAACCTGTCTTTATGAATTTAATTTATTATTTTACTTTCTCACCTCCCGTCTTTTTATTTCTACGCGAATATCAGTTGGTGCCATCTTTTTTCTTAAATAATCTATCCAAATATTATCCTCTGACTGATACCAATCAAATCTATTTAGCAACAAGTCAATGAAATCTCCACCTTGACTAACCGATCACCAGAAGCAGACATCATTAACCTGCAGGACGAAAGTTTAAACTCTACGGAATGCAACGAAGCGAAAAAACCGATGAGTTCGCCGAAGTACGGTTGTCAACTGAATATTGAATACATATGCATTACACTTTTCTAGAAATTGTAAAAAGACATCATTCTTTGAATATAAACATCTTAATGTTCAGAAATAAAATTGATTTTATAGGTAAGGTAAGAAAATAAAGAGAAAGAAAGAAAATATTGTACAGAGAATCAGTCACGATATAAATGACAATAATAATGAATATGTGCACAGGCAGATTTCAGAACCTTAGGCAGCAGACAATAAAAAATAGAACGAACGAATGCAGGAACAAAATTTCAAAGGTTCTACTTTGTTTTACAGTCAATTATAGAGATATCGGACCTTGTTTGTATGAATCGTTGATATTCACACTAAATTTGATTACGTTAAGCAATGTACTTCCGAAAAGAAAGCCATTAAAGGAAGTCCTGAACCAAGCTTTAGTTTCATTGCAACGTAAGCTTATTGCGTATCCGTTCCCGGTGGTTGTATAGCAAATATCAATAAATTCTGACTTCCGTCAATGTATCGATTGTTCAGGTTGTTGGAGGATACGAAGAAGTATGAAGAGTTGCATGCCCAAGAGTAAGACATTCCATTTGTAGGCCGTTAGATAAATACAAGGTACAATTTAATGCACCTGATCCAAAGAGGTTCAAACTTGAGATGTTGATATCTTTAGTGGTAAACCCCGGCTGTCAGACTACTCATAAAAAAAAGAACTGAATCTTCTTTAAGTAACTTCAATCTTCATCAAGTAATTGATTGCAATTACTGTAGAATAGAACAACATAAAAAATGCGGAAAATATGATTTTCGTATGGTAACAATGACTATTCGATGTTATTGAAATATATCACTAAGAAAACATTTGGAATTCTTCCTTTAGATACATTAAATAAAATGTGGTCGGAGAAGATAAAACGTTAAAATATTTGAGAATAACTGCATAGGGGAAACTCGAACATCAGTGTTTGAACTTCGCCTAATATAAAACCTCTTCATTTAGTATATTCAGAAAGACAAATATCACTTACACTGACGTTGTTGTTAACAGATCACTTATGCGACGTCACTTTGGACTTGTAGATCAGTACATGCCGGAAAATGACTAACCTCCCCAAGATAAAGAAACAGGTGTCTATTCTCGGAAATTTAGAAGTTATCCATCTGAATCAATTTTGGCGAACAGTTACATATACATATACGTGATCTATCGATTATTGATTAAGTGAACTAAGACTACGGAAACAACTACTATAGATTCCTTATTGGACCTTTATAACTGCTAACGATTTATGTTATAATTATAACTGTGTTATTGGCAATCGTACTTATGCTATTATATTAAAATTTGATGTGCTACTAGTGAGTGTATATCATTCGTTTATGAAAGCCTCAAATTACTTCAGAAAGAAATCATTTAATGAACAGAACGTTGTTACTGAGTGTCCGAGCTCCCCCTATGGAGATGTTCTCAGGACAACCAAAGAACTTGAGGCTGATCGAGTAGCTAAATATATTTGGATTATAGGAAGAGGTCTTGTAACGTCTGACTTTTTGTTTAGGTATTGATCAAATCGTTCGCGCTTACTATGATCCAAAACGTTTTTGGTTCAGTTCATCAGTCTTGTTTCTGCTAAAAACGGTGTTATCAGTGTATGAAGTATGGTTAGCACTGATGATGAATTCCTACAAAACGGTTCAATTTGAAATCTCATTTACAAGCATAACTAAGATTTTCATCCGAATTAAATAGTGAAGTAGGTATTTTTTTTTACAACCCATGATATTTCATGGAAATTGCCTGGAATTTAGGTGATCTGAGTAGTTACTGACTTCATTTAACCAACTTCTCTTCGGTGCATTACACACGAATTTATCTGAAGTCCATGTTATCATAATAATAATAACGGTCTGTTACATGAGAGATGTCAGTTTACAGGCAAGATTAAATTCTTTCAGAAGATACAGTTTTCAGTGTGGCCTGTTACACAGTTGGTTTGATATTTTAGAAGTTACACTGACCATAAAAGTACTTGATTTGACACTATGCATGTGTTTAAATATCACTTCCAACTATTATTAACGCAATAACCTTTAAGGCACATTATAATAAAAGTCGTTCACCGTCGGTGGATATGACTTTCTGGTGATATTCTTACGTAATCAAACTTCAGGGAAAAGTGTTTTTCAGATAACCGAAATTCCGTAAGTGAGCTGTATGAGGAAAATTAATCTTATCGCATAAAATAACAGGCAGTTTTCTAAAGAATCATGCGGCGAAAGTTAGATTACCACTGCCACTGATTATTTTTGAATGCATTCATTTTAATGCATTCATGTTTAATCGTTTCTAATAATTAGTAAGGCCTATCTGTGGTTGGGGTAATCTGAACAAATCCCCTCATTTGTTCGATAGTTATTGCTTGGTTCCTTTAAAATTGCACTGTGGTGATTAACAAACAACCTATGTGTAACACCGCGGATGGTTTTATTTAATGATGAACCAAAAGCATTTAAACAGGAATACTGTTAGAGCAAATATCTAAAAGTCTAATTTCTGAACAAATACGAAGTGGCTGCAACAGATGATCATCTAGGTTCTCTGAAGCTAAGTGGATTGATATATCCAGATTTCGATGTGTCAATAATTCCATAAGGGTGATAAAATTATGTACCATAATTAGAGGTAATGACGTTATCGTGCTAACTATGAATACAAAGAATAGTGCAACCTTCAGCAAGTAGAACTGGATGAGCACAAATGAATATGAATAATTATTATCTTCTTTGTTATTAATACTTTTGTAGGACCAGTACCACTACAAACGTAGGCTGCAATTAAACGCAACTCGATTTCATAAGGGTGGCAGTCGTCTTGACAACCAATCTGGATGAAGTGGAAATTATCATATCCGCCATTAACGATTCAAACTAATACTGATTTCCCAATAGTTGAGGATAGAAGTTATGTTTTTGAAAGCATTATGAGACTCAGGCACCTGACAGGCTGAGACCAAGC